GAAAATTTGCAATATGAACAGGGAGGCCAGACTTTAACACCTGAAAGTGAGATGGTTTCTACTAGTGAAGAGGATGTTATTGCTGACTTGATGAAACATCATGACGAATTTGTTGGCTCAATGCATTCACGTTTAATTAAATTGCAGGTAATTGGCACGTTCTCATTTTAACGTTTTTTGGTTAAATACTTTCAGGGTTTCTGCCATCAAATGTGTTGCCTGGTTAAATACTTTCAGGGTTTCTAGAGTAAAATGCATGATTGGTATACTCTTCAAAAATGTACTTATTTTTTTGGGGAAGAGGGGGGTGGGGAGAGTGTTATTGATGTAACTAAGTAGTTCAGGTGGAGGAAATACTACGCATAATTCAAGAAATGGTATTGCATTTTACTCTAGAAAAATGCATTGAGTCCTACCAGGGTTGCAGATGCCTAGAAGTATTTCCTTTTGGAATTCCTTGAAATCACTAGAATAAAATGAAAATTTTGGAAAGGGAACGAATTTTCTGTTTAATGAAGACGTTTAAGAATTATGGTTAGTAGTTTAAGGCCATTCCTCTGGCTAGTTTGTGTCGACAGCAGTACTTCAGTAAACAACTCAGCTTGCAAATGGTTGTCAAGTTGGCTATTTTACATCATAAATATATCCTTGTGGTCAAATAATGCACTTGAATTTGAGGTATTTTTTCTTTTCTGCCTACTATCTCTATTGATAGTAGCAGTAATTAAGCACTTTCTCCCTCATGATTCTATCCTGCCCCAAGTCTTGGAAACCTCTTACTGGTCCAAAACTTAGATGTGATGCAAACCAGTCTACTTTTTAATGTTGGATTTGAGGTCACCCTTTGTACTAATGAATTTGTTTGTTTGTCAGTAACTTCTTATTCTCTTCTATTATTCCCGTAGATTCTGTATTAGTTTGAATCCTTTTTTTCTAATTTCTTGCGCAAATATGCTGACTGGAGGCTTTTGAGTGGTTTACTTTTTTGAATTGTTGTCAGATGATCCATAACCACTGGCAAAGGCATGATGTTAAAGGTGCCCTTAGTGCAATGGAGAAGATGGGCGATCATGGAGTAAGTTGTATCTTTCTCTTTTATATATATGTTAGAAGCAGTTCCATGGTGCAGTGCCCTTTGTAATATAGCCATTGCCTTGTGGTGCATTTTGTAGGTCATTGCCGATGTAATAAGCCTTGTGACAGAAAAAGCTGATATTGTAACATTAGATATCTGCACCTGTCTCCTGCCACTTCTCAATGGGCTTCTTGAAAGTGAGATGGACAGGTAAAGATGTTTAAGCAGCAGTCTCTGGCTTCTCTTATAGTCTAAGCCTATTACAAATTGGAATTTTATTGGATTTACAAGACATTTGACATACATCTAAGCTGGTTGCTAAAATAACAGTGAAGCCAGTCACACTGTTTCTTAGTTATTTAAATTGAGAAAAAGATGATTCTACCTGGATATTTCTTCATATAGGTGTGTTTTTAGTTAAAAATTATCATTTTTGTTCCATTAGTATCTTTCTCTTACCAGCCCAATTGGAATTTTGTTGGATCTATTATACATATCTGGAATAGATCTAAGCTGTTTGCTAACAGTACAGTGAAGTCAGTCACCTGATTTCATAATAAAGTAAATTGAAAAAAAATAATGATGATTTGGCCTTGACATCTCTTTGTATAGGTGCATTTTAGTTAAAAGTTATTATTTCTGTTCCATTAATATCTTTTTCTTACCAGCCCACTTTCCATTTGCCAACTTTTGCACGCTGTGAGCTTTAATCTAAACTTTTGCTAGCTGAGAAATGGCAATAGAAACTTCTGTGTTAAATTTCCTTTTTGTTAGATGGGTAGCTATGAAAGAAACTGAGGTACAAGATCTATTTAACTGGCTTGCCCTGGACTTTGAGAACGCAGGTTTTATTAATGTACTTCTTACGCCGTGACAATGTAATATAGAAACAGTTAATTGAATTTTTATGTGGTGACGGATAAATAGAAAACTCTTTTGAGTTAAACTTTTCACATGGTGATATTTATCTATCTTGCTCAGATCTAATTGCACAGATTTTTCTTACAACAAAAGGTAATTTGCTGTATAAAGGTTTTCCATGAACTGTTTGAATGGATGCCTTTATTGGTTTGACATGCTTGTAAATGTGAATTGTTTCCAGCTGATTACTTATTCTGTTCTCTTGGCATGTGATACATATTATTCTGCAGGCATCAAAATATCTCATTGGAGATGCTTCTGAAGCTGGTCAGAGTATTTGGGTCAGTAATATATTCTTCTATATCAGCACCTTCATCCGTAGGAGTGGATATTGAGGCAGAGCAAAGGTGTGATTCAATATCTCAAAACATCTCTTATTATCCGTATCATCTGAAGTCTCCTAATTCTGAGACTCTTGTTGGTTTGGTGCAAAAGGTTGGAACGCTGCAATACATGCTTTGTTGAGCTTGAAAAGGTTAAGCGTTGCTTGCCTGTGCTTTGCAGGTGATTGTTCTCTCCCTAAATTGCTGCTCTCAATGTATGCACATGATGATTTCTTTGTTGCTTATTTGTTTTGGGGTTTTCCAGAAGAGGTGGTTCAATTGCCAAGTCGGCACACGAGTTAAATCTAGCACTTCAAGAAGTTTCATGAGGAAAGTGTGTATTGATTGAGTAGTTTAGTTGCAAATATTGGATTGACACCTAACATGTTTCTCCAAGAAGACTGTGGGACTTGATCGCAGTCGTGCCAAGTGGAGGCTGCTAATTCATTCATTTAACTCAAGGTTGAAAGCTGAGTGAGAAATGGCCTTTTGCTTTCATCTGCTTGAACAGATACTGCGCCCCATCAACTTTACCTGGTGGAGAATGCTTAGGTCTAATTCTTAGCTAACCCAATATCATGAAATGCTAATCTTTAGTTGTAGGCTTATTGGGTAAATCATGTATTGCTGTAATGTAGTTAGGTACTAGCAAATAGATGCGAGCTGGGGAGATGTAATAGAAGCTTGTATGTGCCATTTACACATCAGATATGGCTTTTTGGTGTCTGTGTGTCGAAAAGCTTAGTATAACTGTATGTCTGTATTGCCTCCTGACATTCTTATGATTTGAATTACCACTACTTTCAATTGTCAAATCATATGGAAAGAGATGGAAGAATTTTTAAAGTGACCTTTTACCATTTTATGATCCACAATGAATTGAAAGGTCTTTTTTTTTCTACATGATGTAATCGCCCAAAAATTGCTCATTTGCTAACGAGTTTGCAACTCTAATCCGAAACTTGATGTTTTGTTTGGTTTGTTGTACTAGTTCTAGGTGATCAATACCACTTCAAAACTTTGGGTTTTCGTTTTAGAAGTAATAACAGTCTTTACTACTTGTACTATCAGTAATAGTAATAGTAGTAAATTGAGCGGATGGACTCAAGCTTAGCCACCTGTGGGCTTGGTTTGCCATATTGGCCGGGTCTGTCGATGCATAACCTGAACGGCTCTTCTTGATATGATACCGACGCTCGAAATGCTGTTGCATATGTTTCGGGTATGACTCCTCGTAATTCGGTCAATATGGATTGAGACAACTCTGACTCGGTGCATGTCGACGACACTCAAAATGCCGTTGTATCTGTTTCGGATATGACTCGCTGTAATTTGGGTAATATGGATTGAGATAACTCTGACTCATTGCATGTCGGTGAAAACTCCATGATACTCGATGATATGAATCAGAGACGAAGCATATAAAGTTTAGAAGACAAATTTGCAGCGAAAGTGTGTAGTTTTCCCCCCAATTGTGATATTAAACAAGACAAGTGAAGCAATGTTTGGCCTCTAGTTGTTTTCTTAGAAGGATGATCGTGAAATTTTTTTGCACAACTTGAGTGATGGGTTATGTATTTGGTAATAAAATTTCATCTTGATGACCACCAAATGAAGAGGTGGTGGTAGGTAGGAAGGGAAGGTGGAAACGGGGGGTAAGAAATGAGTTGCAATCCAAAGAAAAGAAGAAGGTGCCCTTTGTACTAAAATCATAAACTTTTAAAGTTGTAAGTTCATGGCTACAGTAGCATCAATTTATTTAACCAATTAGTGACTATATATATCATAATGTAGGTAATGTAGGTATTTTAGCAAATCTAATTTGATAATTGTGCTTGTTATGGTATTTTTAAATTTTTGATAATTTTTCGAAATTTTTGTAAACTCTTACGTGATTTGTAACCAATATGCCATGATCGATGTAAAACAACTATAACTGTGACCTCAATGGCGAACCATGCCTATGGACACTCGTGAAGGGTGGTGGGTTGCGTGGGAGTAGGGGAGTTATCCTTTTTTTCTTCCTGGTAAAACATCCATATTTTACACATACACTTGCACCCAAACCTATACCATGGGAAAAGGGACCAGGCCAACGAGGCCATTTAGAACCCAAAGGGGACTAAACCACCTCTGAATCAAACGGATGTATTATGGCACTGATGGACTTGAGAAAACACGATATCCAATAACACTCCAAAAGACACTTAAAGGCCCTCCTGGTGGCTGCTGGAACAATCTCTAGTGTTTGGGGGAGTTACTTAAGGAGGTGATAATAGTAGTACATTAAGTGGTTGGACTCAAGCTCCCACAAAAACAAGAAAAAAAGAAAAGAGAAATAAACGGAGCCACCGGTGGGCACTCGTGCTGGATTTATTAACATAGGTATAAAAGAGCGAATGCCATGCCTCAAGATTGTGTACTTTTGATGATGTGGCCAAGCGTGATTGGTTGGACAGTGTTCGTCCAACTTCGTTCTTTCTTCAATTCGTTTGCTTTCCGTTCTTTCTTTGCTTCGTTTCTTATTTTTTCTTAGTTGTTAGCGGACTAAGAAAGTCACCAGGTCCGTGTCTACTTTGTTGTCAGAGTGATCAGCTTGATTTATGACAAGTGGTGGTGTTGGGCTCAATGCTAATTTGTTGGTTTTACTATTCTGACCTTACTCTTGTACCCAAAATTACCAGTGCTGTTGTGAATCCTTTCTTGTCCCCATGGGCTTTGAGTAAAAATTGCTTCTACCGTCACTATTGCAATCTGCCAAATAACAGCTGTTACCTCTTTTCTTGATGGATGAGAAGACTGATGCAATTTCTCTGCACAATTTGCACACCGACCAATATCATCATCAAGGTCAGTGATAATAGTTCCTTTCTTCCGTTTTCCTTTGTTGCTGTTTCTTGCACTCTGGTTAGCTCAGCTCCTTGCTTTCTATTTTCTAAATTCAAACTGTTTCTTGTTTCTCTCTGCATAAAATTTACATTGTGCTGCTGCATTTTTCTGTGCCTTTTTTTTTACAAGGTTTATTTTGCTGATTAAACGTTATTTCTCTCCTCTCTCTGTGAAAGATAAATTGGATCTTCTCCATCTTTATCTTCTTCATTTCAACAGGTGAGTTTTTTGGTCGGTAAGTATCTCGACTTTCTTTTCTACTGCAAGAAATAAGACAAAAAAAAACAAGGAAGCCATGTGGAAACAAGAAGCAATAAGGGAAAAAATGGGTCTTCAGCATCTTCATCAGAACATGTGATTTTTTTCCTCAGTAAGTATTTTTATTTTTATTTTTTTGTGAAATTTATCTTTATCGTCAGTTTTTTGCTTCGTAAGTATTGATACTTTTTTTGCCTGCAAGAAAATAGACAAAAAAAAAAAAGCCACATGGAAAGAAGCAGACAAGTTAAAAACTGGATCTTCAGCATCTTTATTTTGTGAAATTTAAAAAATCACATGTTCTAAGCAAAAAAATCCAATCTCTTAAAATTTTTGAGTTTTTCGTTTATTTTTATGTATATTGTTAGTCTTGTTTCCCTTGTTTAGATCTCATCAGAGAGATTAAGAAAGCAAATAAGGATGAATTTGGATATGGAGGCCTGTGTTGACAAGATCAAACAGGAATATCCGTTTATTTTTATGTATATTTGTTAGCGTTTTTCTTCCTTTATCGGATCATATGAGAGAGATTAAGAAAGCAGATAAGGATGTGTTTGGATATGGAGGCTGTGTTATTCATCTACCCATAAGATTCAAATGAGACTTCATTTTCTCATCCACCAATGTCCTTACCTCCCGTACCTCTCTCTCAAACTCTCTTTTCAACAGGTCTCTGTTGCCACAGAAGAAAAAAGTCGATTGATCTGACATTGAGGTACCCTACCATGCTCAATTCTAAATCTTAGATTTTATTTTATTTTTACCTATTTCGCATCTCATCATTTGCTCAATTTTTTTGTGGTTTTTTTTATTTAGGTTGGAGAAATCATCAAAAGGTAAGCTTTTTGTGCCCTAATTTCTTATTTTCTTGCTTTATGCATTACCTTTTCCCCCCTTAATTTCTTTGCTTGAAGCCTCTTAGATCATTATTAGGTTTCTGCACAATTCTAATAATATAATGAAGTTTGAAAGGCATTTCTGCATTTAAAACAGTAGTATTTTTTCAGCAAAAAATAACAAAAGATGCAGATATTTAACTGCTGACCTCCTGTTTTCTTAACAAAAGACAAGAATTGGTGGCTTCATGTTATCTTAGTGTTTCTGTCGCATTTTTAGAAAAGTTTTTTTTTAATGATTCTACTATATCTGCTAGCTTGGTTAGGGTTGATGTGTAATTATCATATCAGATTGTTTGGAAAGTTTGTTATGTTGTTATAGGGAGTACAAGAACTTTACAAAAATGCTAATTTATTCTTTGTAATTTTTCCTCTTCTGATTTCTTGTGTATTAATGGAAATCTTATGTGATTCTATGTGTCCTTTCTTGTGGTGCATTGCGTTGTTGTCCACTTGCTTAGGGTGGTTCAAAATTCTTTCATGTGTTCGCCTATGGTGCAACAAAAGTAACTTTAAAAGTTTCTAAGTTTTTAACTGTTTGCTATTTTAAGTTTTAGGTTTTTTGTTATCTGTTTAAATTATAGACTATTTGTTTTCTTCTTTTTGTTATAGGCGTCTTTATTTTCTATTGGATTTTAAATGTTTGTTACAGGTTGAGCTATTAAAATTTGCAGTATGGTACAAAATGATTGGGGAAATTTTTTTCTCAAGGTGAGTTTTATTTGGGTGTTTTTCCTGAACCAAAAGAAGAAAAAGGGAAATGGTCTGTTTAGTGCAGATCTAAGGTTTTGTCTTCCTATTTTTTTCCTTGTGTTAACAGATTTTTTTCCCAGCACTTTATTGTAAGTTTTTGCTATCTTTATGCTATTATTGGTCTTTAGAAAGGTGCAGGATGAAGATTAATAATAATGACCTATTTTGTCACTTTGTATGTTGTCAAAAGAGGCAACCAAAATTTTAATGATGTTTGAATGCTGTTAGAATAGTACATGAGTGTATTGTTTCGTCATATTGTATACCGCCACAACATAGAACAGGGAAATGATAGCAGTAAATTCGGACTTTGGTAATAAGCCTGATTTAGAAACAACATTTTTAAAGTGTGATCGTTTATCATTCTATTTATTAATTTCTAATATTTTGTGAAGATTGCCTTTTCATTCAGTATGTGCTGCGGCTGCTTCTTTTTATTATACCAACTAGCTGGCTAAAAATTTTGTTGGGATTCTTAGGTTGTGTTTTTATATTTTCGCCCCTTGTTAATTTGTTTTGATTTAGCTTACCTTTCTTAAGATCCATTGTTTTGTGCCTTCTGGTATTGTCAAAGTAAATCAATGCTTGAGAAAAACAAGAATTCGTGACTTCGTGTTATATAGATTTATAGACAGTAGTCTTTTTTTCTTTGTTTCTGCAGCATGAAGCCAATGGTTTAAACCATATGGAATCAATTTGAGGAAGCTCACGATAATCCTATTGCAACTGAGCATGATCCCTTCACAATTATCATTGCCATTAGAGTCAAAGTGACAACAGCCAACTGTAACCATCTGCACCTTTTTTTTCCCTGCGTACTTAAACATTTTAAATTGAACATGTTAATAGTATCAAACATAATCTTTCCCTCAACTTAGTCATTATCAGTGATTCTTATAATTCCACGTTTTCGGGAAGTTGTGAATCTACGTGATTGTTATAATTTTTAAATTGTCCTGTGCACTGATCTCATGATCATTATTGGATTTTTTTTTTAAACTTCAAACCAGGTTTCAAAAGAGTGAAAACTAGAGAAGTAATATAGATATTACTACTGGAATATAGATGTTTGCTATCCAGAGAAGTAATGATGCTACTAAGAGTTTTTTTTTTCTTTTTTTTTATAATACTGCATGTCATAAGCATCTGCTATGTCCTATGAAGGAATTATGTCATTGCACGTGTTAGAGTTTGCTGGGTTTTCACAAGTAGAAGAATCAAAATGTTACATAAATTCAATTGTAGTACTTGTTATTTGCATAGAATGGTAATTTTTGCCATACTATAAAAAATACTGTTCTGAGAGTGTATGACCTTTTTAGAAAGTTGGAAGGAGAGAACTGCAATTGGAGTTTTGGTGTTTAAATTCGATTTAAATATGAATTGCAAACTCCTCTCACTACTAAAATCTATCTATTGGGTATGTGCAACTTCTCTCTGAGACCAATAGTCCATCGCAAAAGAGTGAAAAGCTTTACCTTCTAACTGTTGGTTGTTATAGAAGTGGTGAGCATTCAAGAAGCCTGCAGCTTGTATAGAAATGTTTGGAGGTTAGTTCTCTGCTCCCATTAGTGAAATTGCTCATAGTTTAACATGCTTTACCAATATTAATTGTCAAAAGAAAGAAACTGTAGAACTTTTGGTTGTATTCAAGAGTGGTGCTTTTATCCCATTGGTTTTGTCTTTGTTTGCTAGATTAAACTTGATTGGAGGTAGGCTTTGTACCTTGAGAAGGCAGTAAAAGAACAAATTACAAAAGGTGATAACATATTAGTTTGAATCCTCAGGATTTTTTTTTTCGAGTGTGGCAATATATGAAATAAAAGTTTAACTTTATGGTGCAGATGGTGTCATTGGAATTGGCATTTCAGTTACTGCTGTGGTACTTATAGCTGGTGGAATTATAACTGCATTAGCTAGCAGAAAATCATGACGACGGATTGTTATTTTAAGAGTAATTTCCCTGATTTGCGGTTCCCAATCTTCGAAGATGATGCATTTTAACCCTGCTAACTATGAACTGATGTCCTTTCTATTACTTTTAGTTGAAGTTAAGACTTTGTAAATATATATTTCAATAGATTTCATATGGTACCTCCGGATCGAAGCATATTATCTCAACTAAGATGTCCCGGCACTCTGGGCAAGCTGAAAAGTCCCACCGCGCATAGCGCGGTGTTCACCTCCTAGTTTGTATCTATTTCGGAGCAAACTTTTTGGGAAATAAGTTAGGATTTTCTTAAAGATCTAACGGAATGTTTCTACTTTACCAAGCAACCTGTGTCCGTGATATATTTAGGTTCTCTTTGATAACCCAATTCAGTATTTAAATTTAATGGATTCAGATCTTAACATATTCAATCCGTTTGATAATAAAAAAATGAACATTTGAATTAATTAAGTGGCACTGAATTTTCTAGACAAAACTTGCTCCTAAAATTAAGTGATAAGCTATTCACTTATCACTGAATGTGATATGTACTCAAATGTATTAGATTTAATACTTAACAATTCAATAATTTAATGGATTCAAATTTTAGATTTCAAACTTCAGTTTTATCAAGCGCATCCTTAGTTAATTTAGTGAATATGGATAAAAAATTACATCATTAAATAGATCAAAACAATTTAATCTGCAATTTTGTTTGAGATAAGTTTATGCGTATTGGAAAGGATAGTGCTTTGCCAAAACTTTTTAAATAGTTATAATGAAATGTCCAAAATAAAGTTGAACAAGGTTCGAGTAAATGAAAGTCATCTATTGACAAAAACTATACAAGTCATCAATAAGTTTTGAACAAATTAACCTAATAACAACAATGTCCGATGAGAAACATATTATTCCTCCCTAATTAAGAAGACAAAGAACATCTGAGGCACAGGAAACCCAAAAAGAGAAAGGAAAAAAAAAAGAAAAGAACACACACACACACACACACACAAAACAGCAGCAACGACAACAAGGAAAATGCTTTTGGCAACGGATTTCAATATTCCACAGTTTTTGGAGTCATTGAGCCATTTGTGTTCTTCTTCTTGGGGCATTGCTCATGCCAAAGCCAAACCCTCCACCTTCCAGAATTCTGGTATTCATTATATTCTCAATTAAGAAGGTAATTTTTTCTTTCCTTTCTCATGAGAATAAACCACACAAAGCACCAATTCTCCATCTAGTGACTGCAAAATACCAAAAACATTGCCAAAAAAAAAAATGTTAATAATTTGGCCCAATGGCTAAGGGAGGGTTGTAATACTTCTTTCCTGCTGTCAGGTTTATGATTCGAATCCTGAACCTGACATTGGGGTGGAAAATTAGGTGTACTAGTATTATATTTGCATTCCAAAAAGTGAAATAAAAATTGGCTATATATAATCAATTACCCGATTATCTGGAAGTGTATATTCTTGCATGAGCCAATTCTGTTTTCTGCCCACCTTTTTACCATTCTTATCAAGCACAAATTTGTAGTAGCTAAGAGGGGTTTTGGTTCCAAGCGTCGGATGGTTTTTGGTAATTTTGGCTTGCGCCTGTGTTGCCTTCCAATATCCCACCTCTCCTACGGAATGTCTCGCATTTATGATGCTCTTATCTTTCATCTCCAGATTTGTGAAGAAGTACATGCGCCTATCATCATGTCCACACCATCTTTCTGCAAAATTAATTTGCATCAGAATTATTTCTACCTTTTTTTTTTGTAATACGTACAATCAGAAACTGTTATGGAGTACTTAATAAAGTAGCATGAAAAAAGGTTAAAAACAAGATTTATTTCTAACAGTTAGCATGCCTAAATTACAATATAATTTACCACGATCGATGTTAATCCACACAATTACAGTTATTGCATCCCGTGCATTTAGATACTCCCTCAAATTAACTATATATATATATATATTTAAAAAAAAGACCGACGGCATTTGTTAGCCAAACTCGGAAAAAAAAAAAAACCCTCCGACTATAACTTTCAAAAAATAAACAGATACAACTAGCTAAAAGAGCACGTCAGATTCAATTGGCTTGTTTTTCCATTTGAGATTGCTGTGGCTTATACATAAGCATTTAACAAATGTTCTTTTAATTTTTCAAAAATTTGGCTCCTTAAGTTACGGAAAATTAGCTACCAAACACGCTAAAAGTATTTTTAGTGCAAAAAAGCGCTTCTGTAAGCGTCCCAAACGGGGCCTTAGTCTCCAAGCAAAAACCCTACATTTAGTTTCCATGCAAACCATGGCTTTTATGTTAATGGGTTTTTCCCCCGTTATCTTTTTCGTGTTCTCTATCTATTCCTACAAACAAAATTAAAGCAGATTTAGGTAGAATAATCCCTGATTAAGCTAGTTTAATTACAGCAGGAAGAATAGAACAAGACCTCCATAATGGCCTCAAAAAATAAACACAATATACTTGGCACAGAACAGAAGTACTCATCAATCTTTGTTGTAAAAATTGTTTTTTCTAATCAACCATTGGGAAAATAAGTCAAATAACAATAATATCCCATAAACACTAAGAAGGAAGGATGAATGAAATTTACTTCGCAATAAGTCTGGAGGATAATTATAAACGTTTTCATCATTGATGATGCCTGCAGGAGTAATAGGCAGGTCCCAAAATCTAAGCCTCAGATAATCACGAATGAGTTCTTCATCCGTGGGTCTAAACCTCATTCCCAGAGGAAGTTCTTTCTTCTACTTGCAATTTTCACACTCCTGCAGGCCATGCATGCTCTACTTCATTAAGCAGATCGAGGAGCTAATTATAAGATAATCTTCTTGTATCAAAATACTTAAAAGTCTTGTCATGCCTTAAAATTAAGAACAGACAGACGATGTAATTAATTAGGGCGGTATATATAATATATGTATAGTACGTTAATCATGATTTTTGGGTTAATTAGGTTAGGATTTGGAACTGACCGCGACAAGTTTGATTTGTTTAGGGACTGGTTTTTTGGTCCAATAAAAAAAACCCCTTCCATGTTGGGAAAAGATTAGTACTACTTTATAAAAAAAAAAATAATGATCCGTGGAGGACAAAAAAAATAATTACTGTACAACAAAATAAGTGATAAAAAAAAAAACTCCATACTAACAGTGATATGGGATAGGTGTTAAAGTTTCAAGACATTCACAATTAAACATAAACATAATGATGATCATGTCAAAATTAATTTCTGAGCTCAAAGATTGATGAACTAGGAAACACTCTCTAATATAAATAATTGTTTTTAATTGTTGGTTGCACTAAGCCAAATCACAAATAATTAAAAAACCTAATAATATTATACTAACAAACAGCATACATGTTTATGCTTTTCTTGATTTTTTTTAAAACTTGGTTTAAAAAAAGGAGAAGGATCGAGAGTCGTAAGAGGGTTCTGATGGTAAACTATCATCTAGTTAATGTCCAATTGCGACTTCTTTTAATTCTAGTTGAAGTTAAGAACATTTATTTGAATGAAAATTACTCATGAACACCAAATAATACAAGGGATAAAAGTTGAATAACCTTTTCTCTTGATTTTTTTTGGTGCTAAAAGTTTGGGTGCGTCCAATTGTTTTTATCATAATTATTTGACTTTATTGACTATCATAAGTGTATTCATAAGTGGATCCTTCATAAGTGTATTCAAATAAAAATTTTTAAAAAGTACTCTAAAAGGTACTTTAAAAAGTAGTCTAATTTTTTTTTAATGTTTAAAAATATCCCAAAATAGATTTTAAAAACTCTACTACTCTTAAATATCCCAAAATATACTCTAAAAACTCTGTTACAGTAAAATTTTTCAAAAACACCCCCAGAAACAGCTAATCCAAACGGAGGCCATCTCCAAGGATTATAATGTGGTAAAACTTGTTATTTTCTTGAATTGTTATCCAAGCTACAAGCTTGCAAGTATAAGCCTTGTTTGGATTATGATTTTCTGCAGAAAAATTTTTATGTTTTCAGTAAAAACATTTCTCAGCCGTGTTTTTACCTCACATATATCAAATAGCTGTAATATATTTTTCTAAAAAACTACTAAAGTCAGGATCTAACAAAAGTGAGAGACTGAATTAGGAGTCAAAAGCACTTGCAAGCTAGAGGCTTCAAAACTTAACCACATAGGAGCACCATTTCTCTATCTCCACAAAACTATCTCTTACCTTGCACAAGACTTAATTTTACTCCATAATTTTGTTGAGACAATAATTGAAAGATGCCCCCACAAAGAAACAGAAGAGATGTTTGCTCTTCTTGGGAACAATTTTAAGTGTTTGACCTTAGCCAGTGACAGCAACACATCTACCTATCCAACGATGCAAAATGAGATGAAAAATAGGTAAGCCTGATGAATCATGATCTATCAAGACCTATCTGGGGTGAAGATGTACATCTTGGAAGCATGATAATCCACTGTAGCAGTTAAGCTGCCCACAAACTTTTTCTTCAAAGTCTGGTGCTCCCAAAGATCTCTTACAGTAACAACAGTCTTTAGGGGCAGCCCAATGTCTTCCCAGTGGGCCGTGATGGAGTCCCGCCTTGTGCTGCGGTTCACGAGCAGCACTGCTACTCTGTAATCCGAAAGTGGCCCAGCCCATACCTACTTACCCACCAAAAGAAAACAAAAAAAAAAGTTAATATAATTTTAGCGATTATTCATCTAATAATTGGTCAGCTGCCATTAAGATAATAATTACCTCCAAATCACCCAGCATTCGGACCTTTTTAGCTTGAACACCAAACTTATCTGTTTTTGCCAAGGATTGAAGAAGAATCACCAAAAGGGACACTGTTTTTTATCTGGGATAGAATGATGGTAAAATTTCATAGTGAAGAAAATTTGTAAGAAATTTAATTTACCTTGGTTAACTGCAATAACCTCTTTGTTGCCAAGAATTTCCATTGTCTCTTTTGTTATATTATTTACGTCACAGCCAATCAGAAGGGGAGCCTTAATTAATTACATGGCAAGAAACGCAATCAATATGCAAGTTTTTTTTTTTATTTAAAAAAAATAAAGTGCATGAAATAGAACAATAAATCAAAAGGAATAATCAAGGAGGAACTCAGATACCTTGGAAATAGCCCAAATACTGAAGTGGACAATATATTCATTTTTTGTCATTCCTCCATTTCCCACCTCAAGCATGTCAGGATCTGTTTATTGAAATTTTGTAAGAATGACAGTCAATTTCTGATTTTTTTTTTTTTTTTGGTCACAACGATAACATTTATATAACCTATTCTAGTCTAATCTAAGGGGAAAGGAAGCCAACGGAATCTGCGTCGGAGGAAGTCACTTGAAAGTGGCAGTCACAATTAAGTGGCAAGGTGGAAGGCAAGAGTTGAACCCTTAATAGCCAATTTCTGATTCATTCAACAAAGAATTCACTTGCACAACTTAGCTTCAGATGAATTGGCTGAACAGACAAACTATGGATAGTCAGTGAAAAGTGAAAGCTAACCGTTCCAGCCGCCTGGCCTTGCATATTCTGCATATACTTCATTCTCGTCTGCTCTGGAGACCATGCTGCAGGGTGGTTGTTTCAAGAAGCAAAAGCTTCAATTTATATACTAGCACAACAATTGTAGTCCAAGACATCCCTCCAAACAATGGCATAATAGGTGAAAAAGATAAGATGCATACCTTTCCCAAGTGTCACTTATGTCATTTGTGGTTCTCCAGCTATTGCCTAAGTTTCCTCCCCATAGAGCAGGGTGCATATCTCCCCTGGCATAGAAAAGCCGGTATCAAGAATCAGTAGTTTATGACCAACTAGAAAGTGCAGAAAGCTAATAGTTACTGGAAATAATAATCCATCCAAAGTTACAGAAAAACTGTCTCTCTTTGTGTGTGTGTGTGTGTGTATATATATATAGAGGAAAGAATAAGATCACCATTCACATAGGGAGAAGTATATAGGACGGCCAGATTTCATCAGGGCATTGGTCATTACAGGATATCTACACAAAGAAGAAGAAGAAGAAGAAGAAATTAGTGTGGAAACCTCATTTTCTCAGACAGGAAATTTATGAAGTTGTTTACAACTTTCGACAGATGATATCTGTGGAAGCTTGGAGCTCCCATAGAACTTAGATTAGCAAGTGCTAATATTTGGCGGCCATGAACAGAAATGAGATTGCATACCTCTCGACTGGCTTCGAGCCATCATTGTTGCAGTTATCATACTTGAGATAATCTATACCCTGTGGTGGAACGAGTCAATTACTTGGTACATTGCATTTTCGATTCTATCAATTTCTATAGTTTGGATCACCAAATGCATTATCATCAGACAGGAATGACAACGATGCTTACCCATGATGCAAAGGTCTTTGCATCTTTTTCCTCGTAACCAAGAGAACCTGGCATTTGCTTGCTACAAGTATAATACCTGCATATTTCAACAGATGCATACACCTATTGTGAAAAACTCAGACAGCATAAAATTCAAACCACAGGTCAATTTGCAAGTAGAGCCAGTGATGATCTTACCCTGCATCCGAGTAGATTCCCAACTTGAGTCCCTTGCTGTGGATATAGTCTGCAAGGGCTTTCATGCCCGAAGGAAATGTAGACTTCTTAGGCACTAGATTTCCCTGAATTTCATTGTTATTTGTCAAGGACCAGTCATAAACAGTTCATCCAAAACCAAAGAAGCTAGACGTTGGCTATTTAAATCCAAGAAAAGTAACCTTGTCATCACGGTTAATTTCTGCCCAGCAATCATCTGGAAAAGATAACATATGCAAAATCATTCTTTCAAACTAGTGTTTGCATGCAAATAGGCAGAGGAAGCTGCATGAAGACACACGCACAAGCACAAAAAAAAAGAACTGTACCTATGTTCACATATTGATATCCAAGCTTGGACAGGCCAGTTGAAACCATTGCATCAGCTGTCAAACAAATAAGTTTCACCACTAAGATTAAAGGTATAGATAGAGAATGCTGAACACTTTGGAATGACATTAACCTGTGTCTTTGTTCCTTATTAGTATCCTTATTTAAATTAAGCAACATTTGTTTGTCTTAGGACATAATCCAATTCCACTCAGTTTACCATGTTCATGGTGAACCAGATGATCATCTGCAAATTTTCATTACATCGATAGATAGACATCGATTTCTAGGTAAAATAAAACAAAAGCGCATCATATTTATTTTTCAATTTGATGCAAGCAAATCAGTGTGCAGAGTAAATGTTTTGAGAACGCATGGAAATGTAACTCATAACTAGCAGAAAATAAGTTACAAAATGGCAACAAGGATGTACGTTGCCAAAAAGATTCACACATAAAGGGGCATACATGGACTTAATCATTCCTTTTGGTTTTAGGGTTCTTTAATTGGAAGTTTTTTAAGAAATCTGGCTCATGAATGAATTAGCACTGATTTGATTCTGCAGAATATGTTAAAGAAGAAGTTGATATTGCACAATTTCGTTAAAGGTAACAACCAAAATTGCATATGGAAATTAGTAGAAGAAGAGACATTAAAAAAAAAAAGAAACGGATGGTGTGATGAAAGCGACAAGATCACTTTTAACAGTCTGGTCTAGTTTTGATTGGCTGACAAAAGGCAGGTCCTTATAATTGCTCGTCCATGTGAAGTGGTCTAGCTGTGGGGTAGCTGAAAATAATTTTTTTCAAACACATGGAAAATTTTCTACCACAATGATCTAACAAGAAACAATAGAAGTATTAAACTTCAGATCAAAACCGACTATTTTTAGAGTAGTTGGC